GGGTTGTTTATTGAAAGTTGGGTGTATGGTAGATAGGGGATGGTTTTTTTTATAATTTGATGGAGGGAAAAGAAAGGTTGAGGTTAGTGGTATGTGGGTTATTATGAGGAAAGAAATATGTGTATGTTTGGTTAAAAGTAGTAGCAGTTTGTGGAGTAGATGTGTGTCGGGGGGAGGGCAGCACCGCAGGGCGGACTCGAACGTGAGCGTTAAGTCCGGGCTCGGGCTAAACAGGACCGGCGGTGGCGGCGGAAGGTGAGCATTCATTCCCCTCCACATGTCGTTTCGAGCGGGGTGTGTCGATGCTGGGAGCTGCTGCTGCTCGGTGTATCTGTAACGAAATTTGGTTGTTTCTATGGTTTACTTTCTGTGTCTTGCTCTGCTCTTGTTGTGTTTCGTTCGAGGAAGGGCTGGGCTCTCTCTACATACCAGGTAGTAGTCGAACCAGCTCCGTTATCGTGTCCGTTGCCGTTAGCAACCAAGAACCATCGTTGTTTTCCCCGACAGTCCCCTCGGTACTCACACGCGTTTTGATCCAAATGTTTAGTTTCCCGCTCGATCCCAATTCCTTCTGACGAGTGGATATTCATCAATTGCGTTTATCTTGCATCTCGTTCCAAACGTTTAGTTCCCCCCTTGATCTCCGTCCCCTCGGACTGTAGCACGTATTCATCCGTCGCGCATGTCTTCTCTTTTTCTTCTTTTTCGGGATACAGCGGTGGAGGAGCAAAGAGCTCGAAGGACAAGTTCTCGTCGAGGCAGCTGTCCTTGCGAAGCTTCCAGCAAACCGTAAAGAACCACGCCAACACGATCAACAAGGCCTCCAACGTCAAGGTGGAGCCCAAGACCTTCTTCGCCAACGAGCGGACCTTCATCCAGTGGATCTCTGCCGCGGTGTTCGTGTGAGTTGTGCTTTCCATTCTTGGCTGCTGTTGTTGTTGTAAACCCGTCCGTTGATGCTGTCGGTTGTTATTCTTCATGTGGTCGTTGTGTTTGTTGCTGCTGCTGCTCTTGTTGCTGATGATGATGTTGTTATTGTTGTTGATGTTGACGATGCTACTGTTGTTGTTGTTGTTGTTGCTGTTGCTGCTGTTGGTGTTTTTGTTGCTTCAGCTCGCGGATCCCTGCGATCGCAGCAGTCTCATGTGTAGAAGCACCGCATTTTCGTATGCGTTCGATGCTGTCTACTACTATTTCCTGTGCTGTTGTTCGGGGCTGGGGTCTTTCTTTATCGCCAGGTATGGCGTGAGCACGGCGCTGTTCGCCTTCGACGCATCCGAGCCAGACGCGAACTGGATCGCTATTACTTCGGCGGCCATCCTCTCCGCTGTTTCCCTCATGATCCTCATCTACGGGGCGGTAGTCTTCTGTAAGTACATCACTGCAGCAAGTCGGTTTATTTACGATACGGAGTGATCCTCCATTGCATTGCCACAACACCCCGGCAAAGTAGGAAGGAACGGCTGGCCGTCGGTCCTGTGGGAACAACAATGCTCCGTCCCCTCTAGGACACGTGGTCGACGGTCTAACCGCTATAAGTCGTGCAATACATGAGTACGCCCCCCCCCCTAAGTCTCTGGTCCATCCCTGCGAAACGTGGCCCGGGCCAGCGAAAACCGGCATATCCCTCCGTCCGTGGGGTACGAGGTTTAACGACTACGGCTTGCGCTTACATGAGCACACCCCCGCCGTCCCCCTCACCCTACCAAGATCTGCGATTGGACCGCCTCAAGTCGAGGAAGGACAGCAGGGTTTTCGCGGACAAGTGGGGGCCCGGCATGCTCGCTCTCGGGCTGTTCGCGGCAATCGTTACGGTGCTCGTGATGCAGGTCTTGGACTACATCGATGCCACCGACACGCCCTCCGTGTCCGTGGCCGGGGTGTCTGACGCCGTGGCCCACGCGCAGGACTACTCCTGTGAGTGGCGGTGTTGCGTGTCTTGTTGGCGGACCTGAGTCTGCGGTGGCGTTGCTTGTCGTAGTAGCAGGACTGCTTCTGTGAGTGGTGTTGGTGGCAATGGTGGCGTTGCTCGTCTTATTGGCGGGAAGACTGCTGTGAATGGCGCGGCGTGTCTTATTGGCAGGATCAAGTCTGTGATAAAGGTACCTGCGTGGTGGGTGGCGGTGATGGTGGAATTGCTTGTCTTATTGGCGGGACTGGGTATGTAAGTTGTGTTAAAATATTGAAGCTATTGTTGCGTTGCCTTGCCAATGTCGTGCTCTGCCTCCGGTTTCCACTTTCTGCCTTGCGGTTCATGCTCTGCGGTAATTCCTATTTGTTGCATTTGCCTTGCCAATGTCGTGCTCTGCCTGCAGTTTCCACTTTCTTCCTTGCGGTCCATGCTCTGCGGTAATTCCTATGTGTCGTCCCGTGTGTGACTGCGGTTTGTGGTTGATTCACCCCTGGTTTGCGCGCTGTTTGCTGCCTCCGCCCCGAAAAATGATCAGACGACGGCGTGGTGTACACACCTACGGGGATATCGAGGAACGCTGCCCTCGTCAAGCTGGTAAGAGATACAAGAGAGAGCGAGAGGCAGAGACACAGACAGAGAGGCACAAAGAGGAAGACAGACAGAGGCACAGAGGCAGGAAGAGAGAAAGGCACAAAGATGTTTGCTTCGTATATGCTTGTTCTCGTGTATGGCCATTACCGTCGGTTGCATGAGATACCCCACCCCCTCTGGGACGATTTTCAAAGCTTAATTACTCCACGATGAAGAGGATGCTGAAATCAAAGGATAAGTTGTTGTCGGAAAGCTCTCGACGAGACGGTTCCAACGCCGCCATTTTCGGCACCGTTACACGCTTTTCCTGCCGAGAAATCGAGCTTTGAAAATCGGGCCAGGGGTGTGACCATGCAACCTACGGTATTCAACTCGCACAACACGGAGAGAAACCACTTTTGAACAATGAAACATTAATCTAGCACGACACTTGATTGAAGGAAACATCCTCCTTTAGATTGAACCGAAAGGAGGCCAGATGGATCCGAACCCAACAACAAACATCGGCGTTGCTTAACGCACACACACACACACGTCGCCTTCAGGCGTCGGAGCTGAACTCGTTCTCCCCCAGCAAGGCGTACGAGTTCTCCAACCTCAGCAACGGTAGGCCCACCAAGAGGCTGAGGAAGAGGGAGGAGTACATCGTAGCCTCGGGATCGACTTCGGACCTCACCAGCCTTCCCCACGGGGAGGCGGTGCTCGTCACGGCGCAGGTATGTATGTGCTTGGAGGCTTACGGGCAGCTTTGTCGTTGTCGGGAGCGCAGAGAGAATGGCTGAGGTTGCCCCCAGGACCTCTTTATGGATGGTGATTGTTGAGAGTAAGGGTGAACAACTTGGCGCCTGAACATACGATCTTCGCAGTTAAGCGAAGAACTTAATGCTCAACATGTCATCAATATTACGGATTTGAGCTCGACGTAAGAACCTTACACTAAAAACCTGGTATCTATATGGCGGCAATTTGTAGCCCACAAGAGGAACCACTGTAAGAACCCCACCCTCGGGTAAAACTATAATAATAGAGGTTCTTAAGTGCGGGCATCTACGGTAGTAGCACCTTCAAAGTCCATGCATGGTGAAGAATAGAGTAGAGCAGAAGGAGTGTGGCGCCCCCGCTGGGGGCCCGCCGCCCTGGTTCCCTACCACACACACACATGTATTCACGTATCCCACAGATTCCCCGCAGATGAAGTATCGAGTGCGGAGGGGAGTGCCCCAAACGGGACGTACGTATCTATTTGGTACTCTTTTCTCGATGCTTTCGAAGTCTAACGCTTGTTTCTACATAGGCGCCTATGTAAGACTAGGTACAGATTTGTAAATCCTTCCCCAGAATCTCGAGGGTTTTCTTTGGGCTGTAAGACGACTATGCACTGATTCTCGTTTGGGCTGTCGGGCCTATCGCGTCAAACAGCCCGGCAGAAGACGCCAGCTTCAACCAAAAGCGTTCAGCGGTGACAGCTGTTTCTGAAGTTGAGCCGTGCGTGAGCCCATACAAAACGTCCGAACAACCAGCGGCGGACCAGCCGTTCATTTTTCGACAAGAAGAGTTATAAAAAGTATCGATGTGTGCTGCTCAGGAAATCGTGGAAATACATCCTCCGCTGACGCTAAGATTCATTGCTAATCAATCTTACACTATGTTCTTTAGATAGAGAGAGATGGATTCGTTGGGTCATATCAAGAACAAAAACAAAGTGATGCAGGTTCAAAGATCGCGAGACTTTTTCACCCCTCCCGCTATCGGTGGTCAATGGTCTAACCGCTAAGGCATGCAAAACATAAGAGTACGCCCCCCACTATCGCCACAGCCACCACCAACAACCCTACCCCTGTCTTCGCTCATCGAAAGCTTGCTTCGAGAACGGCGTACTCCTCGCACTCCTGCCTCTTCCGCCACTCCCCCCGCCGTTCCCGCCGCCACTCCTCCTCCTCCTCCTCCTCCTCCTCCTCCTCCTCCTCCTCCTCCTCCTCCTCCTCCTCCTCCTCCTCCTCCTCCTCCTCCTCCTCCTCCTCCTCCTCCTCCTCCTCCTCCTCCTCCTGCCGATGTTGCCAGCGGTGGGGGTGGGGGTGGCTCTGCAGGTGGCGGTGCTGCTTCTCCTGCTGCTCCCGCCATGAGATCATTGACCTCGCCTCTTTCGCACAGAAGTAGTCCACAACCAAGACGACCCATGCATGCACAGGACTTCGAGGTCGAGACACACTGCAACCAACCTCCCTTCTTGCGCGCTCAACCTGGTCCGCTTCATCCCTACCGGAACCAGCTCCAAGCCGGGGCAAGTTCGTCGGGTGTTGTGCCTTTAGATACTTGCTTGCGTGTATCTCGACCTCGATTTCCAGTGTATGCATCGGCCTTCTCGGTTGTGGTCCAGTTCTTCTGTGCGAAGGAGGCGAGGTCGGTGATCTCCTCCGTGACGGGAGCAGCAGGAGCAGCAACAGCACCGCCAAGCGCAGAACCATCCCCACCACCACCACTGGCAGCAACGGCAGCAGGAGGAGGAGGAGGAGGAGGAGGAGGAGGAGGAAGAGTGGCGCCGGAATACATCGAAGACCTCTTGCACACGACCAAACATCTCTTGCAGAACCAACGCCGGTACAGTTAGCTCCCGCACTTGAGAAAGAACCTCTAGCGTTGACCGACCCCGGGGTTCTCAGTTTTTTTGTCATTCGACGAATGACAACTATATAGATGGGTTGTCGTGTAGGGGTTATCTGCGGTGCTCACAAACGGTGCTCAGGTTGTTGGGATATTTATCTTTTATAGCTGGATTTCTTATTTGCCAAGTTTATTCAGTGCGAGCGCCTACTGTACAACGGTTTGTTTGGTTTCACAGCCATGGGCGTAGTCAGCCCCCTCGCTCTCCAGCATGGACTCAACCTTCATATCTTTCCATGTTACAGTTACACGGTCTGTCCTAACACTACCGCATAGTTGGACGCCTTCCAGAACTACTTTGACGGCTATTCATGTACGGTTCGTATATGCTTCAGGATGCTGCCAAGCAGAAATAACTAAGCCGTCCATCATCGCGGATCTACCCGAAGGTCTACATGCAAACAACTCTCTGTGGGAAAAATCATACAAGTCCGTTCTTCTCGACGGAAGTAAGTCACCTCCTACTAACAATGTCGGTAACCACACGGTCCTGTCATAGGTGACGCACCACCTCCCCCAGGAAAAGAAATCGCTGCACACCTCCACAAGAACTGGACCAGGCGAAATCTGCAAACGCCCTCGTTTGTGCCATATTTATTTGTTCTCCGAGAAACATGCCTCATCACAGTACCCCCTACTGCTTTTTTGTGACGAGCCAGGCTGGAGTCCCGGGTACTACAAAGAAGATCTCCCCTAGGATCATATCAACTACATTGCGACAAGCCAATCAAAATCTGGATCATATTTGTTCGACAGCACGTGTATTTTATGCGAAAAGTGTCTGCCTGCTCAGCACCATCGTTCGAAAGGCTTTCGACGACCCGGAAAGTCACCCACAGGTTCGCCACCAGATAATGTCTCAAATGGCTTCTCACCCCAATGACTATACATCCATATCACTAACAGTTTTGGAGACGACTCGATTCAATTTCTCAGGTCTCCCCCACGCTCTTACTACTCACTTGAGCATAATGTACAAATCATGGCACTCTACAGCAACATACTCTACGCAGGATACAACGAGGTTGCCTTTGCCTCCCACATTTATATACAATACTGTGAACAAGTAAAATTCGAACTGCAGGCACCTCTTTTCCGCCACCGCCTCATCCACCACACACAGCCAAACATTCTCGACACCCTGTGGCACCCAAATTCGGGCCGCTACTCAACTCCAAAGTCACCCCGCACACGCCAACAACCAGTGACGATGGTGTGTGTGTGTGTTTTTTTTTCTTAATATGACACAACGAATCCATCTCTATCATAGAGTCTGAGACAGATTAGCAATGAATTCATAGCGTCAGAAAGTACCTGTGTGTCTGTGTTTTGTTTCCGTTTCCGTCCGTTGTCACCTTTTGTACCTGGAAAGTTTCTGTTCATCCCTCGTGGATTCCCGTCTCATCAATACGACACATTATACATATCTTTGTAGATGTTTTTGCCTCCGTCTGATTTTTGCATGTTCTTGCATCATCCCCTGCCGCGGTGCTCTCTTTTCACCCACTCCGTAGGGAGGTCTTGCGTGTGTTTTTTTTATGTGACTGCTGTATCTGCTGCCTGCCGCTGCTGCGGATTGGTACACTGCTGCTATGCAACAACACTAACAGGAGGAGGTGTTCATGTTCCCGGGAGCCAACACTGGGACGTTCGACGTGGCAATGGAGTTCTACAACACCGCCTCGGTGGACTTCGTGGGCCCTTACGCTACCTCCGCTTTCACCGGCGACGAGGAAACCACCATTCGGGTGAGCTGCTGTTGATGTATCGTACGTGACTCAAGATAACACCCCTCCTATATACCGTAGGTGACGCCAGATAACACCCCCCTACCGTAGGTGACGCAAGATACCACACCCCCTGGACCGATTTTTCAAAGCTCGACAATTTTGCAGCGAGAACGGTGACGGAGACCAACAATGCGGAGTTGGAACAGTCTCGTACATTATGTAGTCCAGGGGCCCAGGAGGTGTGGAATCTCATGTATGTGACCTACGGTATGTATGTGACAGCGAGGTTCTTGTTTTCTCAAGAGGCTGTTAAATGAGAGTTAGCTTCTAAAACTATTGGCTTGGTCCAGCGAGCTTTCGGTGATGTTCGAGCGAGCTTCTGATTCTGTTGGCTTGGCCTAGCGAGTTTCTGACCTGGTTGCTAAGCGAGCTCGGTCAAGGGTAGGAGGTTTGTTTATGCGATTTCCTTTGGCCGTTTCAAAAGGAGGCTTTGGGGCTACACGCTTATCTTCAAAACGCAAGCGGTGCACAGTAGCCGTCCTTTGAAGCTGGATCATGTCATGTTCAGCTCCTTTTGTTCCCGCCTATCTATGCTATTCGTCTATCCCCCCCCCGTTCACAATGTGCTCCGTCCTCTCGAGGACGCGTGGTCAGTCGGTTAGACCATTGCGGCATGCAAGTCATGAGTACGCCCCCCTCCCCCCCCCCCCCCCCTTGGGGGTTACCATCGGGAACGGGGTTTTCTCCCTTGGCAACCAAGTTTAAAAAAAAACCAATTTCCTTTCTGAAACCGGCAAACCGGGTACCGTTTTTTTTTTTTTCCCCCGTTTTTTTTTTTTGGGGGAAACATAAAGGGGGGCCAAAAAAACATTTTGTGGGGGGGCCAAAAACCCCCCCCCCCCCCAGGGGGGAAAACCCCCCCCCGTTTGTTAAAAAGGGTAAACATCCCCCAGGGGATTAAACCGGGGTTTCAAATGTTTTTGGGGAGGGAAACCCCCCAAAAAAAAAATAATTCCTCGGGGGGCTTCCCCCCCCCCCAAGGAAAAAAACCCAAAGTCCCCAACCCCCTTTGCGGGGGGGGCGCCCCCCCCTTTTGGGGCCCCCCAAAATCCCCCCGGGGTTTCCCCTTTGGGGATTGGGAGCCCCTTTCCCGGGAAACCCCGGGGTTCCCCCCCCCCGCTTTTGGGGGGGGGGGGGTCAAAGGTCAAAAGGTTCCGGCCTCCCCGGTTTTGGGACCCCCCCCCCCCCCCCCCCCCCCCCCCTTGCTCCTTCCGCTCTGCCCCACCCCCTCTCTGGGTGTTAGGGCGCAATGTGCGTGGCGTATACAGCCCTGCTGAACGGGCAGAAGGTGGTGCTTAAAACCCCGCTGCCGGACACTAGCCACGCGGCGGTGGCCGCCAACGATTTAGAGGTACGATGCTTGGGGTGCGGTGGTTGTTGCTGTTACTGTTGTTGGTACTGCTTGCGGTTGATGTTATTGCTCGTGTTGTAGTCGTCGTTGTTGTTGCTGGCGGTGGTGTTGGAGTTGATGCTGCTGTCGTTGATTTTCTGTTGTCTCAGATTTTGTCCATGCGGTAGTTGACGTTGCCCTTGCTGCTGCTTTTTTTTTCGTCGTTGCTTGTTCCCTATTAGGTGGAAATGCTCCTGCTGAAGGAGCTACACCACGACAACATCGTCAGCCTGCTGGGAGCGGGTTTCCTACCAGATGGCCGGCGTTTCGTTGCCCTGGTGAGTGTCGGCGTCTGAGCCTCCCTTGCTGATGCTAACCTCGTGCTTTCCTGGAGGCATGAGTTTCGATCTCTCGCAGGTTGTTTCCCTCTCCCTGTCTTTTGTTCGGGGGATCCGTATTTCAAAGAGGGCCCACATGCTTGTATGTACGCGGCGGACCACCGATGCATCGCCGGTACACGTCCAAGCCAATCGCGTCTGAAACTATTGCACGGGTAAGGGGGCAGGTTTCTCGCCGGCCGCCGGCGAAATGTATGTGCCATCTGATTCGCGACCCGAAGGAATGGGCGGCGGCATCGGGGTTGTAGCCCGTCTGGCCTCCGGGTCGTGAAGTGTGAAGGAAAGTCTGCGTCATGTAGAACACGTAACGTTCGTCTTGGAGGAGCCGAGTGCCGCACGCACTGCTTGGCAGATCATTCGCCGAACCTGTTTCTCGCGTGCATGTACGGGACACACGGACACGCTCAATGTTTGATGGCCGTTCCGGCCTGGGCATGTTTACCCTCCCCCCTCGGCATCCTATGACATAACTGGTCCTCTTGCTCTGACGGATTGCAACCACCAACCCGCACAAAAACACTTGACACAAGAACTCGCTAAACGCCCCGCATGATGCATGTGTCTGCTGCTCCCTGCGGACTGGTGGGTTCGGCGGTCATTGGCTCTTGGCTCGAAACACCGGCTTGGCAGGAGTACTTGAGCGGAGGGACTTTGAGCTCTCTGTTGAGAGAGCACAGGGAGAAGCCCATGAGAATTTCCAAGGTGCGTACAGTCGTGGTGTTGTCTAGACCTCAGCCCCCACCTCGCATGTACATCGTATTCGTTCATGCGCAACAAGATCAATTCTGATCACAACAACAACCACAACGACAACCACAAAAATAATATTACAACAGGTGCTCGACCTGTCGCTGGCGTTGTGTAACGCTTTGGAGTACCTCCACGACGTGGCGGTGCCAGGACGCATCGTGTGTCACCGAGACCTCAAGCCGGACAACATCGGTTTCGCGCAGGATGGCACGTTGAAGCTCATTGACTTCGGACTGGGAAAGGTAACTACAGTCCCATCTAAATGTAAAACGTGTAACCGTGCGTTTACCGACATTACATGGTGGCCTGCTGTACCATCTTGTGTCCTTTGGGTGGGGATAATAAGGAGAAGCCACGCATTGGATGAGGTTTTTCGCCGTTTCCTATACTCCGTTTGTACAATACCCTATTGGTGACGACATGAGTAGAAGCCGAGGCGTGGATAAGGGGGTTTACCCAAGTGGGTGGCGTCAATAAGGAGAAGCCAAGGCATTTGATGAGGTTCCCGTCAGTACTTGAGTGACACCTACCCCTAGGGTTCACGACAATTAAGGAGCAGCCAAGGCATTGGACAAAGGGTTGTTTTCTTTGGCACGGAGCCGTGACCGCTGCGCTCGCTACCCGGTTGTTCGTTGTGTTGTCCGCGACGCGACGGGGGTGCAGATCATCAAGCGCAAGTTCCGCGTGAGGGCGGAGAAGTACCACATGACCGGCGGCACCGGGAGCCTGAGGTACATGGCACCCGAGATCGCCGACCACCAGGAGTACAACGAGAAGGGCGACGTCTACAGCTTCAGCCTCATTATGTGGGAGATGCTCGCGGGGATCAAGCCTTTCCTGGGTGAGTTTTAGCAGGTCTTGCGCGCGCATGGATAGGTGATGCAAGCAATATCTGAGGCAGAAATAAGTGCAGCGAGGTATGTATGATCTGATTGATCGGAGGAGTTACGACGAGATGAGATAAGGTAAGATTTAGGTGCGGTGTAGATATGACTAGGACCAAGCGAAGATGGAGGTGTGTGAGCGTCAAAGCTGGGCATATAGAGTGGCACATATAGAGTGGCACGGGACTAAAGGAATGGAATCATAGTTTATGGGAAAAGGGGCAGGGGGTTGGGAGAGGAGAGAAGAGAGGGATGGCCGGGGCGCGCGAGAAAAGGCATCAAAGGTGCGGGAGATGGGAAAGAGGGGGGCAAGGCGCAAGGGGTGTGTGAAGAGAGGATAGACCTCTCTCACCGATCACATCACGCATTCAGAACGAACACGCCACCGGGCCGATTGCGTGCGTTTCACACAGCAGAGATAGCAGCAGCAGCAGCAGCAGCAGCAGCAGCAGCAGCAGCAGCAGGCGTTTTGGTTCAGCTTCCTGTGGGTCTCGCCATACATACTTTGGCTCATGCAAAGCATGCACCACTTTGAGTCGCCTGTCCCCCAGTTGCCCTGCGCCTCATCGCGCCTCGTCAAACGCCACCAACAAAAACATCCACCACCATTATATATATATAAAAAAACACAGGGTTGAAACGGCCGGATTTTTACAACCGTGTGGTCGACGAGGGGGAGAGGCCTCCCCTGAACCCGGAGTGGCCGCAGCCCGTGAGAAATCTGCTGGAGAGCTGCTGGCGAACCAACCTCGACGAGCGCCTCAGCTTCAGAGAAGTCGCGGGCATCCTGAAGGTGCGTGTGTGACACTGGGGGGGTTGGTTGGGGGTGGGGCGAAAGTCGGATGTTGTTGTCTGGGCATGGTTGTGTGGCAGGTGGCGGCGGGGTTGGTGCGTAGCTAAGGGTGCGCCAAAGTCGGGTGTGTTGTTACTGTTTACGGGCATGGTTTAAAGGCATGAAGGGTTTGGGCTGTTGCTTGTAGCTTGGTTTCAGATGTCGCCCTGTGTCGTTGACGAGTCACAGCCAGCCGGTTGAATCTCTGGCCCTTCGTCCGCGGTGAGAATGATGTAGTATGTTAATTTGTCTTGCGCGTTTGTTCCATATGTGAGTGAGTGTGCTGAGCGGACTGAAGGTTCGCCATGATACAATACACACGCAAGAACGGCAGCAGTGTGTGATTTGTTGTTTTGTCGCACGGTGTATTTTATTTTCTCTCTCGCCAAATATGGAGCGGGATAGGGATGATATGCCGGTGCGCTTCTATAATAGCGTGCGGGCGCCACGTAATCGTCAACGTTAACGTCAACGGACAAGGGCTGGTTCGAAAAATGAGCATACATTTAAAGCAAGATTTGAGGTCTGAACCCTGAAGGCATACTGTTGCCACGTTGTTTTCTGATGTGTTTTATTCCTTTAACGGGTTGTCTCAGCTTGTGTTCGTTGTTATATGTATCTTCTTTTCGCAATCCTGCCGCTCGATTTGTACCATGCCGGACGAAGTCCAGCAGTGTACAAGAATGCCGTTTGTTTTATTTCTTGTCGTACTTCTGGGACCTTTTGTTTGAAACCGTCGACAATGATTCAGGTTTGCGCCGAGGAAGAGAACAGGCGGAGCTTTACGGAGGAGAAGAGAAAGAGCTTCCGCCTTCCCAACAGACGGTCTCGCCTCTGGACGACCACCGGAGCGAGGCCCGACCTGGACGAGATCTCCGTAGATCCCCAGTACAAGCCCAAGTTCAAGATTTCCTCGTTCTTGTCGTCACACCAGGCGAGTTACGCCACCGCCACGGACAGCACCGGTCCGCCCGGCGCTGGCCTTACGTCGTTGCTGCTAAATAATAGGCCTTGGCCCTCCATCGTCCGGTCTCTTAATTTTGGTTGCCAAATACCCGTCTCCGTAGCCGTCGGTCTCATATCGTCCGTTCTGTTAGTTGTTTGCCGCCTACCAATCTTCGCGGGCGTTTGTTGGTCTTCTATCGCCCGGTCTCTTAGTTGCTTGCCGCCTTCCAATCTCCATCGGCATTGTTGGCCTTGTATTGCCGGGTCTGCTCGATAATGTCCACCTTGTCTTCGACGTAAAAGGCTACATATTCATGTTTTGTCGTTTTTGCTCATCGCCGGGTCGGCCGCCGTCGTTCAAAGTGCAAACCGCCGCACCGCACACATGTTCAACGGTACCCATTCGGTTGGGCTCTTTTGTTTTTTATTGCGCGCGGGCTGTTCGTTGGAAAGCTGTTGGACGGTGTGCTCTTCTCTTCGTAGATGCGAAAATCCGAAAACTCTATTTGTAGCTGAAGCGAAGTTGCCTAAATGCATCAGACCAATGTCGCAAAGCAACATTTTTTTTTTTTTTGGTGAAACTTGGGAGATTCCTCCCCCTGTTGGTCAATATCCACGTCTGTTTACTGTTTGTTGACGTGTGGCATCCTGCTTTTTTCGCGTGTCCCGCTGGGTGTGCCTGGCTACTGCTATTTTATGCTGTGCTGCAGGGCACCGACGGGGGGAAGTCGAAGATGGAGAGGCTTCGCAACGTGGCGAGAGGAAACAAGGGAAAACAGGGGTCGGTGAGACGAGCGTCCTCGGACAACACCGTCAAAGACATGCGCCGAACAACGAATAAGCCATGATGGTGATGGTGATGATGATGATGATGACGGATC